CAATTAATCATATTTGTGTAACAGATTATAACCGATAGCCACTAATTTTAATAAAAAATTATTATTACATTTAATTAACCTTTTTAACTTATTTACGATTTTTTTTACTTGATTCAGGTAAAATTATTAGAAACAGAAACTTTTATCATAACTTAATTCTTCTTTTATTAAAACGTTAAACTATCATCAGAGCAAAATAACAATACATTTACATTTAACAATTTATTAATGATGAACTATCGCAAAAAGTACAAGTTTTCTCGCAGGTGGCAGAAATTCACTTATTTAAGTCATAAATATACATTTTATTAATTTGAACGTACAGACGCGTTCCGGTGCGTGGTGCAAACTTTGCACACAAATATTCAGTTCTGTACACTTCACTAAGATTGAAATATATCCATTAAGAACGTTACTTATCGTAAATTAATTCATCTTGAATATAAACAGACTAATCTAAAGACCACTCTATGGTTCTCTCTGTCTGGCCGCGATCTCTCTCGGAGGTGAATTTCGTTAGGTCTCATTTGTTTTGTCGTAATTGCTCGAGATATGAGGGTTTATCGGGACCCGTGCACCTCCTCCCGCCGCCACCCCTCCGTCGCCCGTGTAGCGACCCGCCCCGCAGCTTTATTGGATTGCCTTATTGGCTCTTTATAGTAAAACGAGGCTTCGTAACCGCTTCATTATGGCTTTTTCCTCGTAACGTCCCGACACCGCTTACTCGCTCAAGCTTTTGTAACAGTTTGCTTTATTAAAGCGTCTTTGTTTAGTTTGTACAGCTTCACCTGCCGTTCAAATTAATCACGGCATCTTTACCACTCCATCGCTCAGTTGGGTGATACGATTACATTTTTATTATCTTAGGCATTATTGTCAGGAATAATAACTTTATTAAAATACTTACAGTAAAATGATGAAACATCTTGTTCACCCTTTTCAGAAGCTTAACAGAACATACCTTATCACCCATAACGTAACCTAACAATTTTTGAATTTTGTCGGACGTGAACACCTAAATGAATTTTTCTCTAAGTGAATAATTTTTATTTGTTTAGGAATCAAAGTGTAATTAATATTCATAAATGAGACTAAATTCCATGATCAGCTTTTAAAATGTTTCACAAGATTATGTAATGTTACTTACTTTGTTTTTGAATTCATTATTTCTTTTTGTAGCAAAACTATTACTATACTGTACTTATAATTTTTTACATAAACGACAGTGATAAACACTTATTAATTGATTTTTGTCGTGATCATTCTATGAGACTAACAAAATTCAAACATTACGCAAGCAACAGCTAAAAGTATTATGAATATCTGGACAAAAAGGTGTAGAAAAAATTGCATGGAGACCCAAATTATTTAAATAATATAGTCACATACACAACAATTTAAGTGTCAAATTTTTTTCTTGACGAAGTACTCATAATTTTTCAAAAAGCCCCACCTACATCCTGTTTACGAAAACTATTTAAATATTTGATTTACCGTCATCTAGCGTCGAGAAGCTGCAACTCATCATATTTATTATTTGTTTTTCTATAGATGGCAGTGTCTTATATTCAATAAACAATTATTATTTGATGAAATATGAAGAAAAAAATTATTTTATCATATATTTATCTTGTTCTTAGCTTAATCAATGTTATATTACCTCTTACTCTTCAAATGTAGTATCTGCTTAATCTTTTCGCCTCCATAAGTAGTGATTGAGAAAAATGTTAATTAAACAACATCCCATCTTCCATGCAAAAAGAATGATGACTGTTTAAAATATATTTCAAATAAATTTTAACTGAAAATTGATCATTCTCCAATAATTTTCATTTTTAGTTGCAAGCAATAATTATTACGTTATTAAGTTAATAGATGGCGCTGTAACGCCATGAATAATATTCTTTTAAATGGTAAATATTATAGAAGGTAATATAACCGACTGCTAACACCAGTGGGATATCGAAATTGCAAATACGATATAGAACCAAGCGAACTGCGAAAACGAAATCCAAAGGATTATTCTATTTAATTCGATGAAGCAATCGACGAAGTTCCAATAAAAGTCATTAGGCAGGCAAATGAGGAAGCAGCACGCTTCTAAAAATACATAGTGTAGATGGCGGTGGGAAAACTTGGTGTGAGAACTTAAATATAAATAACGGAATTTTAAGCTGAAATACTTAATCAATCTAATATTGTTCATTTGTAGATTGCTCTAGATTAAGAGCACATGTTGTTAGCTATTGTACATTCCATATGTTTTGTTAACGCGATAATAGATCTATTTTCTATGGAGTTTAAAACACAACTTCCTACATAATTACCTCCACGGTAAGAGAGCAGTCAAACACTTATCAGTTCTTTTAAAAAATGTACTTTTAATGCATGACTCAACTAAGTAGAATTACTCAGCAGTATTCGCGACAACTGTTAGGAATAAGTTGAGATCACCTTCAATTATTCACAGCAATTGCGAGGTATTGATGGAGTAATGTATTTCATCATGTTCACTCATTCATCTTTATTCAGCACAAATAAAAGGAAATCAGGTACTAAATATGGCGTGTGTCCAAATTAAAAAACCTACGGCGATATTAAATCAAAGTAAAACTACGGTGCTGATGTATCGCCTCCCATGGACATTTACAACATCCGTAGAACCCTGAGGGGCAGATCCTTTGCACTTTTTAATAAAATGGGCCTTGATTAACTAGCGAGGGATTCGGGGACCACGTTACGGAGGTGAGTGCATCAGGCGAAACGCAGAAATAAAATTTATTTCATTGAATAAACTACAGCCATCCACTGAGATATAGATTCCATTACATCCACCGTAAACAACTTGGTAACGTAAAACAAAATTTCGAAGCTCAATAATGAACCACTTAAGTCGAGCGCCATGATTAATAATGACAACGTAAAATCGTGAGTTCGTCTCCCAGTTGCGTGCATCTCTGCTGTATGTAGCATAATCGAGTAGCCGCTATCAATTGTGAATGAGGTATTATAAGTTGAATTGCTTTCGTCATTTCATTTTCAGACGTTACAGACATCAGATTATTCCACTGGATATTCTACACTGTGGCTGCTTCTTGCAGCGGAGCGCGTCACTCTTGAACGAAGTTGGTTATTAAAATTGTTGGAGGCGACTGTTGACGGTATTCTCATTCCGCCTTTACTCATTTCATCTCGGAAATTTGTAATGGCAATTGTGGCGATAATTATTTTTTGGGAAAAACAACAAATGTCTAATTTATATAATACAAAGTATACGGCATCCCTTGAAACGGTCGTAAGCATGTTCTAATCATAAGCTATAGTTTACATGCGTACACGTAATAGGGCTTTTAACATCTATTAATAATTTAACATTAAATATCTATACTTAAAATAACTTTAGTAAGCAAACTTATTGTCAATCCTTTTTTTTTAAAACATTGCCCTTACTTTAGGATAAAATTATCGTGTATTGTTAGGACGTTTTTACAAACATAAATTGCACGAGGACAAACACCCAGAGGTGGGACTATCTATGGGTCGCACTAATAGTTGTCCCGTGTGGGAATCGAACCCGCGACCCCTGACGCCGAAGCCATATATATAATAACTGCGCCACAGCGACATCTAATTTGAATTGTTGGCTTATGATTGTTGAGTTATTGAAGAGTCATCAGTTTATTCGTTTATGATGTTTACGCTATCAATTCCTGCACTATGTACAGCTTTTTTATGATTTGATCCACAGGATATTGTCATGATCTGAACATAATAGATTGCAACAATGAATTTCTGTTATCGTATCTCTTACAGTATGACACTTTAATTTGTAACTTATGTATAGTGACAAGCTGAAACGATTGTGACTTAATAAGCTCGTCTAAACTGTAGAACTGCTGCTGTCTCGGACGTATCTCTGACAAATACGTCAGCTGCTGTCTCAGCAGCAGTCAGGAATTACAGGGAATTTTATTCATAAACCTGGCATAAACATATACTTTCATATACTATTATAGCATATACTATGATAAACAAAGAATCCCTTGTTTCTTTGACTTTTTTTTGTCAAAAGGTGGCAAACGTGATAACCTCCGCTCATTGACATTTGCAACACCGTAGAGTTACAAATGCGTTGTCACCTTACGATACAGTGGGCTCCGGCTCCCTCACTCCCCAGACGAATCGCAGAAGTATAACACTTTCACTACACGCCGGTCTTCTGTGAGTTCGTGGACCTGTCTATTCGTGCAACAGAGAAGACTGTAGCTCTACCATGGTTAAAAGGTCTCGAATAACATCTCAACAAACGAAATTAAAAACTATGAATCCTTAATATGCATCGATCTTCTTCTTATGTTTGATACTTCCGCAGAAAAGTTCGCCTATTCAGGCATCAGTAGAAATTACTTCGTGGTTTAGCTAGAATGAAGATCAAATTGTCGTTTCCCTTTTGAAAAGTTTTTATTATTTTATATTTCAAAGCTCTTTATGATGCTCGAACGTACACAAAAGGAGTTGTATATGAAAAATAGTGATTAAATAAATAAGCTCCTTCTCTTTTCCGCTTCTCGCTTTACTACTGGTGCAGTCAAGTGTAGTCCGGATTCCTCGCATTCCTGTCATTAGTAACCTCGATAAGAGCTCTTTTTTTCTTTTTTCATGTAAGAAAATGGCTAGTGAGCTGGCGGTTCAACTGCTGGAAATTGATACCCGCCGCCCATGGACAGTTACCACCTTTGCGTGGTGATGTGGTCCGCAGATGCGTTGCCACCTTTGAAAAATAGTGGGCCCCGGTTACCTCAGTTACCAGTAGAAACGGATAAGTATAACGCTTCCACTTCACGCCAGTCTTCTGTGAGGTCGTGTTACTGCCCCGGACGGAACTACACGTTCGTGCAGTAGCGAAGACGGTGGCGTGGCCCTACCGCAGCCTAAATACATTTCCGTCCCATTATAAACACCTCTTTTGTGAAACATAATAAAGAGGAGTGCAACAATAAATGGAGGCAATTAAAAACTTTCGCGCGCAACAAAACGACACGTCCAGCGAGCGGGTGGGCCGCAATCTCGCGTCACACAAACAAAAGTCCGCGCGGGGTTCCGACGCAATATCACTTACGGGGTCCATGGGGGTAAGGGGGAGAGGGGGGTTGCCACCAGACCCGCAAACTGAATTTGCCCCATCGTCCACTCAAAAGTCAGCGCGCTGGGCTGAGCCGCGCTCAGGCTCGAGCGCTGAGTCGTCAGGCCCGAGCGGACCGAGCGCCGAGCTAATGCGGCGACCCCCAAACGACAATTTAATAAAGAAAGCTAAAGCCGCGCCGCGCCTCCGCAGTAATAACGTTTGTAAAAATATCCGCAGACACACTGTTAAGGGGGATCACTTTTTGAGCAAATATTATTTTCAGAGACCTTAAACAGCTTACATTATAAGTTAGTCCAAAATAACTCGCTTGTCATGATTATATTAATATAGTATTTGTTGTATGTTATAAATAAAGACAACAGCGGTATATTTATCATGGCCGATGATCAATCAATAAAAGTAAAATAAAGTAACGGCCTATACATGTCCCACTATTGGGCAAAGGCAAGTTCAAAAGTAGTCGATAGTTTCGAATCCCGAAATACCGAAGGATTTTAACCATGTATCTACAAAACTCCTTTTTACATCAAAAATTTATGTCAAAAGTGGCAACCGAATATGCCACCTATGGAACAACATTATATTTGGGCTTCGCAACGCTTTTCCAAATTGTAAGCTTGCAAGCTCCGAATAAATTCATTTAACATTAATCTCCTGAAGCCTACATGGCCTTCCCTAGACGAGTCTGCCCATTCGTTCCATAAACTGCTGTCTAATCTTTGTTGCGAAAATCGATTTTTATTATATCCCTTGTAGATATTTTTGTTTCTTGGTAAAGGATGAATGTGTTATATAGTTCTTTGTACGTCTTTTTTTTTTTATATATTTTATTTGAATAGAATATTTACCATCTAAAATTACATAGTATCTAATAAACCCACGCGGCATGGTGCCAAGAACGCTACCTGCATTTCCTAGCTGAATAGTTATGCTTAACCTTTGAGCGAGAAAAGAACCAGCTCTCTTGTCACCAGCCGCGGCTTTAAGCGTTTTGTACGTCTTATATATAAATTTCACAACCATCCTTCATCTATAATCTCTTGAATTTGCAATAATTCAGCTAACCGATTAACTTTTTAATATGATCCGCTTGTCTTAGAGGTATTTATGAGCGTTGAATCAGCGTTTAAGTATTTTCGCAAACATTACTGCTTTCTAAATGATGTTATATAAATCACTACGACGATGTGAATCACTTAGTCATGTACATTAGATATGAATAAAGACGTAACTCACAGGTGCGTTACATATAAAATAGAACATCGCAGCATTATTCTTGAAATTGATTCCCAATTAGTTTGTTTTCGACGCTATGGCTTCTCCTTTACTGGGCAGGGTGCGGTCTCATAGAGTTTTATTTGCACGTCGCCTTAACCCGCGCGCGCTGCCAATATTAAATTCTGCAAGCGCCCCCGCGCCCCCTCCCCCCGCCGACACGGGACACCCCCCTCTACATAGAGCTCGCTAGAATTACATTATGTGTTTGCTCGCGTTTAGTTAGCTCTAACGAACTTATAACTTGATTCGATTAACATTAATTTTGCAATTAGAAGAGGTTATTAATTTGTTTTTTTGTTTAGCTTTTCACGTTTCGAGAAAATCAGCTGCCGATGCATCAGTTACTCTTTGTTAAAACGTAAAGTAAGTAAGTAAATAGCAATCTGTACAAGTCCCACTGTTGGGCAAAGGACTCCTCTGTACTGAGAGTATTAGAGCATAGCCTATCACGTGGCCCCCTACGGGTTGGCAGACTTCACGTAGCTTTGTTAAGCACTTGATAAGTCAGCACTTAAAATTAACAATTGGTGCTCGCACCAGGATTTGAACGGAGGTTACTCGAGTATATTAAATTAAAAGCGAGTGCCCAGACGTCATAAACATATTACGTCACGAACGAGGCTTTCATTTTGGAGATTTTTACTCTCTCATCGATATAAGGAAGTTTTATCCCGTATCCTTTGTGGCCAGTATTCGGCGACGGTTTGTCCAGTAGTCTTTTTCGATGTAAAAAAGCTGTAAGCTTTGTGAAACGTACATGGAACTACTTACTAGTCTTAGTTGGGTACATTGTTTCTTTCACTCCTATGTTCATTTTAAAATACTCTACTAGCTCCAATGATTCTAACGCAACAATTAAAATTAGTTACGACGTTCATCAACCCTCTATCTGTTATAAAATGTCTAAGCTTATATCATTTTTATCTAATTGTTGTATCACCATTTTTATCAATGTAAAACATAAACGTTATATATCCTGAAAGAAAATAGAATCTACTTTTGCAAGCAACAAATAGGGTATTCCCCTAATTGTTGGCTCGGTTGATAATGTTGACACAGGCCCTCGGATGTCGCTAAGTTTAGCTCAACGGAAATCAATTAGCCAAGGGTATTCAAACGTGCTTACATCGAAAAGGAATTCTCAAGTAAACACGATCCTGAAGTCCGTAAAAAGGTGGTTGTGAATTAGACAAGTGGCATTTGTTTAGTGTGTTTGTTGCCGCAAACAATCTCTAGGCACGAGCTCGGCTGCCGTCCAGGAACAAACTCCTTGAGACAATCCACTCGCCCGCCAGGACTCATGTTGGACCTGCAAACAAAACTGCTAACCCCACAAACAATAATGGAGTAGGAGAGCTCTTGACAACGGAACCGAGACGATAAAGAAAAACGACGTTTCAATTTATAATTTTATAAGATTTCTTCTTTTTTTATTAAAACGAATAGAAAATATACACAAGTGATATAAGTTACCACACCACATCTTCGATTGTGAAAATGTTATGCATAGTTTAATTAAAAAAAACTTGCAGAGTAATCTTGATATGTGAATTTTTAGAAATTTTAAATTGTTTATAGTGCTAATCTTTGCATTTAAGATTGAACATTAAAATATGTAGAAAAAGTGCGAAAAGATTGTCGCCGCTGCGGGAATCGAACGTGGGAATCGAACGTCGGTGTGGCAATCAGCCGTTTAGCTCAGTGGCTAGAGCGTCAGGCCGCGAATGCCGAAGACGTGGGTTCGATTCCCGCAGCGGCGACAATCTTTTCGCACTTTTTCTACATATTTTAATGTTCAATCTTAAGTGCAAAGATAAGCACTATAAACAATTTAAAATTTCTAAAAAAAAGCAAGGCGACATCTCTCGTTCGAATTATCGTTGTAAAACGATATTCGAAATTGTTTGTATGCTGGAAAGGATATAACAATAGATGGCGCCAAGCATTGCTTCAAATGCTAAGAAAACAATGTGGAAGAATTCGTTAAGATTTTCGTCGGTGTGGCAATCAGCCGTTTAGCTCAGTGGCTAGAGCGTCAGGCCGCGAATGCCGAAGACGTGGGTTCGATTCCCGCAGCGGCGACAATCTTTTCGCACTTTTTCTACATATTTTAATGTTCAATCTTAAGTGCAAAGATAAGCACTATAAACAATTTAAAATTTCTAAAAAAAAGCAAGGCGACATCTCTCGTTCGAATTATCGTTGTAAAACGATATTCGAAATTGTTTGTATGCTGGAAAGGATATAACAATAGATGGCGCCAAGCATTGCTTCAAATGCTAAGAAAACAATGTGGAAGAATTCGTTAAGATTTTCGTCGGTGTGGCAATCAGCCATTTAGCTCAGTGGCTAGAGCGTCAGGCCGCGAATGCCGAAGACGTGGGTTCGATTCCCGCAGCGGCGACAATCTTTTCGCACTTTTTCTACATATTTTAATGTGAATTTTTATTTTAACATGTTTTGATATTTTGTTGGATGGCTTTGTTGGGCATCGATGTTGCAAATCGTAGGTTTGATTCCCACGTGGGGCATGTATTTTGTGATCAGACACAAATCATTGTTCTGGTTCTGGGCCTTTGTTCCGAAGGAGTGTTGACGTCACGCAGGTGGCCGGTATAATGTTGGATCAAACCTAGCCAAAACACAATTACAGCATGATTCAAACGCTGTACCGACCCCACATAGGTGGAACAAGGGCAGGCAGACGATGATGATCATAATTTAATAAAAGTAAGAAGTAAAGTAACAGCCTATACATGTCCCACAGCTGGGCAAAGGCCTCCTCTACACAGAGCGTATCATAGTCCACCACGCGGCCCCACTGCGGATTGGCGGACTTCACATATCTTCGAAATATATATTTTTTTGTTATTATTTCTAAAATATAAAAGTTTCCTCACGATGTTTTCCTTCACCGCGGAGCACGTGATAAGTCAGCACTTAAAGTTAAAAACTTCATTGGTGCTGGCACCGGGGATCGAACTCAGGTTGCTCGAGTATATATTGAAATAAAGGCGGGCGCCCGGACACCGAGCTATCACGGCATAATTTAATATTATACTGTAATATCGGCAGGACATTGATATAATGTTGTTAGTCAGTTGCTTATCGGCACATTGCCATGGAGCTACAATAAGTTCTGCATGATAAAAAGCTTCTAGCAAAGCCTACGTCACGGTTCTATAATATGTCAGAGAGCTCACCAAGATTGGTTACATCTTAAACATGGTTACATCTTAAAGAGGCTTAGGTTAGTAAATTCTACAAGCCTCTAAAGAAAAATAGTCAGCCGGTCCTAATTTCCTCTATAAAAAGTCCCTGCTCTGTGGCCTCTGTACCGCAATAGGACATATCCAGGCTCTCTCTTTCGCTTAGAATTATTTTTTAAATTTAGAACTGGTCAGCACTGGCCTCTTCCTCTCAATCTATTAAATGAGCACACTGCCCTATTTAATAGCAGTAGCACTGATAAACCCTGCACTGAACTAAACGAAGGGTAAATAGGTAGCGTTTATTGGACCTCGTAAAGGTATACGAGGTCAACTGAAAGCCTTTTTCAACAGCGGTCACTGACGGCCATCATGGGATTTGAACACACTTTAGAAAACCTTGAAAGTTTTTCTCAAGCTACAAGGCGTGCAAACATTGAAACGCGAGAATACAACGAAATAATAAGATGGACTCACGTTCAAGCGAGACGGGGCGAAACTCGTCGGTACACTGTCTTAGACTTCAGCCGACTTATTATTTCGTTAATAGCATCTCAGGAAAGTTTTCATAATTTTATCTCGAGCGTCTATTTCGGATTATCCCTGATAACGCCACAATCAGAGCGATGGATTACGTTCGCTGTTTGTTCCCAAGCTGGATCTCAGCCAACGCTAATTCTGCGATATAACTACGCTCACCAATCGCCCAGCTGTCCAGCGTCGGTCATTAAAATTGTTCGATATCGCATTGCCGGTTTCTTATTAGACTACTTTTGATGCTAATGAGGTTCGAATTTACTGTGAAGCAACGTTTGCAATTGCACGAGTGGCCACGGTCTCGCGGGGAGGTAGCACGGCATAAATGCTAACTAATCGTAATTATTTTTAGAGGTTTATTACCTCTACTTAATAATATAAATATGAATGTAAGTTTGTTTGTTACGCTTTCACGTCAAAACTACACTTACACACTTAGTACACATATCATTATAATTATTAAAAAGGACAGGATTCTTTTAATTAAAAAAAATGTTTTTAAAAAAAGATTTTTATTTAAGGGCTTCAACGAGGGCGTAGCCGCGGGCGAAGCCTGGTCATGAATATATGTACGTATTCATAACATGAATACACGAAAATAATTTACAATTTCAAGATAAAAGAAGTTATCAACATATGTAACAATACGAAACACGGACAACTTTAATATATTAGACGTTAAGAAGCAAGTACACCGTATCAATTACTACTACTTACCTGCCTCGTTAGGGAGATTATCAATTGTATCAGAGAATTTACCAATCATCTGATACTCACCTAAAGATTTTTCCTGAGCAATAAATACGAAATTACAAGCTACAACGGTATTTCGAGAAATTTGTATAGAGAATATATATAATAATATGTCTGTGATACATGTATATCCTGTATATATATTTATCACAGGCCAAACGTATCCAATTCTGTTTGATCAATAACAACACACCAACGAATTTGCCCAAACCCTTCAATCCCTGCGGAAATGTAAACAAAGTTGTCGAGGGAAAAAGGAAAAAAAAAGGTTTATTTAATCTGCATGACTGACGACACTGGCTGGACAAACGCCGTGCAATTATACGACGACAATAGTTTAAAAAAAGCACTAACAATGACACACTCGTAATCTGTAAAGATAAAAAAGGACTTCGCTACTATTAAAATAAAGTGATGAACCCTCGATTACACCACAAAAGGGGTAGGCACTATGCACAATACAGTAAAATACTGTATCGTCATTATGTTTAACTTTTTTTTTCTCATCGACTACCGTGCAGCCAAAGGAGAGTCAAAGAGATCCCTTTTTATTCTATTGTCAAATTATTTGCTTTACGATTTAACAAATCACAGCTTATGAGCTATATAGCTTGTTAAGTTGTAGTCCCTTAATTTATAATATAGGACATTATTTGTTATTATGTAGAGTCATGTTTATGATGGATGA